GGGTGGGGGGGGGGGTGGGCGGCGATTGGCGCGAAGAGCGCCCGTGGGTTTATTCTGACATGACGGTTGTCCATGGTGGCGCCGACAGCAGCATCGCCAATGATGCGACCGGGGTGCAAGGGCATGGATGTGAGGTATGCCGTGGCGACTGACATCATGGGGCCCGTGGCCATCCTATGGGACATAGAGAATTGCTGTATTCCGGCGGGCGTGCCGGCGGAAGATGTGGCAGGTAATATTAGAACTGCGCTTCGTCTTCATCCCGCCGTCAAAGGGGCGGTAACAGTCTTCTCGGCTTACGGCGATTTCAATCAATTCCCTCGTCGGCTGCGGGAGGGCTGTCAGAGAACGGGCGTGAATCTGATTGACGTGCCGAGCGGAAGGAAAGATGCGGCGGACAAAGCCATCCTCGTTGATATGTTCTTGTTCGCTATAGACAATCCGCCGCCGTCTACCATATTCCTGATCACAGGTGACATCGATTTCTCCGCGGCGTTGCACAAGTTAGGACAGCGGGGCTTCACGGTGGTTTTGGGGGTTCCCGCTGGAGTCGGGATCTCTCCTGCTCTTTGCAGTGCTGGCACGTACGTCTGGGATTGGCCGAGCTTGGCGCGCGGCGAGGGTCTTACTCCGGCGAAATGGACTCCGAGACTAGGCTGGTTCTCGGCGGGAGCGACGGTGGCGGCGGCGGTCGCGGCGACGGCCGAGGCGCCTTCTGCCGCTACAACCGCCGTCGTCGCCGGCGGCGGCGGCGGCGCTGCGGCTGCCTCCTGCCCTGCAACGGCAAACACGATGGGAAATTCTCTTGCATCAACCAATGGCGTCGGAGGCTCGCGGACTCCCACTAGTATGACCACCATTGGTTCTCCCAACTCCCACACCTCGAATTCCTCCCCTTGCTGTTCTCCACCGAAAATCGGTATGATGTTGGGAAACGGTCAAATAGGCCGGGATGAACCATGTGCAGGTGAGAAAGCTGTGGCAAACTGTGGGAGTGGCGATGGAGGAAGAGGAGGAGAAGTATCAGGGGAGGATGGGGCCGAGGGGGGGGAATCTGCAAGGGCGTGCAGAACAACAGCCGAGAGGGTTGGCATCCACGTAGGTGGGGAAGGGGCAGAGTTGTCCTCCTCCCCTCCGACAGCGAAGTTTTCGGGTCGGGATTTGCGACGAGATGGAGACGAAATTTCTACGTCGTCGCCAACTCGAGCTCAGCTCGTGGGTCGAGAAGTGTTTGTCTTGTCCGACAGTGAACGTTTCGCTCCGTTCGGTAGTCTCTCGGGATACCAATCGGTGCCTTCCCGGGTTGGATTTGGGGGTGGTAACGGAGGAGGAGGAGGAGGTGGAGGAGGGAATATGGTGGGGAACGGCGTTGGTTTGTTGAATGGAGGGACATGTGGTGGCGGCGGCGGAGGAGGAGGAGGAAACAGGGGGTTGGTTAACGGTTATGTGAGGCAATCAAAGAAGGAAGCGGGGTGGTCTCCAGCAGCACCGTCCGATTTGGTTGGCCTGAAGCAGCAGATTGTAAAGCTTTTAGTGGAACACGGGGGAAAGCTGGACCTCGTGAAGGTTCCCCCGGAATATAGGAAGGCGTACGGAAGACCGTTGTACTTGTCGGAGTACGGGGCTTCGAAATTGACTCATCTTGTGGAGAAGATGGAGGATGCCATGTTCGTGAGCGGAGGAGGGATGAAGAAAATGGTCCTTCTGAGAAAAGGGCTGACGGGGGGGGGCGGTGGAGTGGGAGCGGGCGCGGGCGCGGCGGCGGGGGGTAAGGGAGGATTTGGGTCGACGGGAGGAGTGGGCGGGGGGCTGCAAAATGGGGCCGTTGGGGAGTGTGCATTTGGCGGCGGGGGGGCAGGGATTAACTTCTCCCATTTTACGAACGAACAACAGCAACAAGAAGTGTCTCGAAAACGAGAGACCATGGCGGGCCTTTCCAGAGGAGGAGGAGGAGGAGAAGGAGTGAGGACAGCGATGGCGAGAGAGAACTCGGCAGCGCGAATGTTGTCGGGCCGGAGACTCGGTGTGGTGGGGCTGGCGGAGGCCGTCGACCCCATGGGCGTGAGTAGCCACAGAGCGACTTCAGACGATGACACCGGCGAGGATATTTTTGGTGATATGAGTCCAGACGAAGAGGGAGACGAGATCATAATGCTTGATGAAGATCCGAGGGTTGTGGAAAATCGCAAACGAGCAAGAGATGGGGCAGCAACAGGAATAGGTGTAGTGGGAGTAGGAGTAGGAGAAGGGTCAGCAGCAAGATGGACGGCGACCGGGGGTTATGTTGTGAGGCTAGGGGATGGTGATGGCGCGGGTGGAGCCGGCGTGGCTGTGGAGAGGGAAACAGACTTGTTTGGTATAGTTGGAAGTGGAAGATGCTCGCAAGCATCAGGAGTGTTTCCTGACGGCGGTAGTTTAACGCCAGGTACAATAACCCCCGCCGATCGTGCCACGTGTCTTGGTGAGCACCCTCATATTTCAACGCTTGGGGAAGATAGGTGGACGCATCATCATCATCATCATCATAATCTTCATCGCCATGATGATGAGGACGACCACGACGAAGAGGAATTCCCGGATGACGGAGGTGAGAGATTCGTTAGTAACGGTGAGGTATGTGCTCAAGTCGGTTTGGAAATATTTCGGCGGGAAGTAGAAGAACTTCTTGTCAGCCATGCTTGCAAAATTACCACCAAGACGTTTCCTGAACTTTACAGGCAACGATATGCAAGAGAGCTGGACTACAGCAGATATGGAGTCTTCGACTTGATTTCCCTCATTCAGAAGGTCTCCGACGTGGCACTTGTGGTCGAGGACGAAGCGACAAAAGCCCCATGCGTCGTCGCCAGCTTCTGATTGACTGTGGTGCTCGTCTTTTCTTTGTTATCCCTCCGCATCACTGGTGCGTCGCTTCTGGTACGCAGTTTCGTTGTTTTCTTGCCGTTGGTATGCTGACGGTCATTTGCCTTTGGCATCCCCCCGCCCCCCTTCTTGTTTCTTCTTGTTTCTGAGGAGGCCTTTCTGCGTCCTTCTTGTTAACCAACCCCTCGCGTTTACGTCCACGTTCAGCTTCTACTTTTTCACCGCGTTCTCTCCTGTACAGGGCTGAGGCGCCCGGCATTCACGTGCTTATTTCTTTTCTCGTACATTGTTCTTTCTGATAGTAAGTACTATGTGTGCGTGTTTAGCACCGCCGGTAATGGCAGTTAGTCTCCCACCAACTGGGTCTAACGGAGTTCGTTTCAAAAGAGAGACAGGAGGGGGAATACGATAGAGAGGGAAGATGATAGATTTTCCTGATGAGGGGAGGGAGAGAGGTTGTTGTTGCTATTAGTTCTTCTGATCGCTCGGTCGGTGTCCTGCCTGGTCTCTCTTTGTGCTTCTCCGTCCCTCTCTCTCTCTTGTGCTCTATTGTTGACCTGTAGCAGACATAGAACTCTTTTTTTTTTTTTTTTTTGTTTCTTCCCTCGTTTCTTAGCTGTAGAACTAGCACGTACGTTTTTTTAGTTCTTCCTTGGGAGGAGGTTTCAATATACGGGAGAGAGAGAAGACGGAGCGAAAGTGAAGGAGATGATGAGTCACTGGGGAGCGGAATTAAGTCTTCGTCAGCTTGTATTGTCTGGGTTCGTTCCTTACCTGAAGTCCTCGATTCCCGTCCCTCCTCAACAGGCACACACGCGCAAACACACAAGGACACGCCCCAAATGGTCTGAGACACAGTCACCCTCTTCTCTGTGGAGTCGTGTATAGCGAACATGACAACACACCCTATCCCCCTCGTCCGGTCTTTAGATTGTTCTCATCATTGCCTTCGAGGCTCTGACGAGGGCGTTGTTTTCTCGCCCTCTGCGTTCCGTCTGGGCGCGTGTAGCTCCGAAGTCTCTTTGCATTCACGAAAGTACGACAGTTTCTACGTCGTCGAAATCGAGACCCGATCCTGCTTTTAGTGGTTCTAGCGACGTCGTCTCCGATTTACCTGCGAGTACAGGGAGAGACCGTAATCCTGTGTGCGAAAATCAGTTTCCGATGGGGATCGATAGGTCGATGCATAGATAGATAGACACGCAGCGACAGAGAACATGTGCACATACGTGAGAGAGAGAGAGAGAGAGAGAGAGAGAGAGAGAGAGAGAGAGGGCGACAGAGAACATGTGCACATACGTGAGAGAGGAGAGAGAGAGGGGGCGACAGAGAACATGTGCACATACGTGAGAGAGAGAGAGAGAGAGACGTTCTTTGTTATAAGACTTGCCGAAGTTGGAAATAAGACGAAGCGCATTTACAGCGCGGAGTCAGAAGTAGACAAGGAAGAGGTGGGAAGCCTCTTTGTGGGAACCTTCTTTTCCGCTGTCTCGGACTCGTAGGTTTTAGCTCCTTTCACTCTTTGGCACCAGGCTGACGGCGACGCCACAGGCATTGTACAACTCAAAGTGGAGGGGTGTAGCAAGCAACAGAAGGGTGTAGAGATGAGGTTGAAGTGATGGCAAGGGAGGGGGAGGGTTGCAGCAAGCAACCGGAGGGTGTGCGGAGCGGTTCTGCCCGCAGAAGCAGAAGTGCACGTGTACGTGTGCATTGAACTGTCGTTAACCATTTGGTCACTGTCCCGATGAGCTTGGGCGAACGGTTTTGTGGTAAGGAGGCAATGCATGGGAGAGGAATTCGGATTAGGAGAGTCCTGGCTGCAACCGCGTGTTGATTGGTAAGGGGCGGCTGTGTGGGATGTTCACCGTCTTGTCGCCTTCCTCCTCTTCTGCCTGCATCCTCTCCTCGTAAGGATCAACAAAGCTGAAGTCTACAGGTCTGATGCTGGGCGTGTTGCCGCTTTCTTCCTCCCTACGTTGTCAACGAAGCTGGACTGTACTGGCCGTGTCCTCTGCACACGGCTCTTTGCGATGGCCGTTCTCCTCTTTGCGCCCTTTTTTCTCTCTCTCCATTTCTCACTCTCACCCTCCTTAGTACTCTGCTCCCATTTCTTCTTCGCTTGTAATGAATCGCGGTCTCGAATAGCGAACGAGCGCCGCTTTCAACCTATGTCCCATAACCACAATGGCCCGGGAGGTTGACTGTCCGCTTGGAAGGGCCGTCGACGTGCTTTACCCTCTTGAACTGCAAGGTGGTGGCGTAAAAGTTCACTATTCTTGTGAGGGGTAGCCTCACCCACTTTCTCTCCCTTTCATTTCACCCCTCCACCGTTTGCGGTAGGCTTACTCACTTTCCCAACCTCCCCCCCCCCCCCCCCCCCCCCCCCCCCCTCCCTCTTTTCCGGTCCATTTGCGTCGCTTTTCTTGTATCTTCCTTATCTATTTAGCATGGAGGGACACAAACGATGCGCGTGTGGAATTGCTCAGCAGGGAGGAAGCCATGGTAAAATGTCCCTCTTTCACGATGAGAAATATAGCAATGTTGTAGAGAGGATAGAACCATTCACATACTGCTGCAGAAGCGCTGCCCGGAAGAAAGGACGGTTAGCAGCAAGGAGGGCTGGGCCTGCTGCTAGTGCATCTGGCGCAGGTGGATGTGACACATGCACACGGAGAGAGAGAGAGAGAGAGAGAGAGAGAGAGAGAGAGAGAGAGAACTGACTCTTGCGTAACCATTGCGTGCGTTGTGTCGTCAATCTTTCAGCTGCCTGCATTTGGTTTTCTGTCTCTGCGGGGCCGGTCGCGGACTGGGTTCACGGACTGGGTACCCGTGGTAGATAGAGTGGTCGTGTGGTAAATGACAGACGGCAGGGCGGAGGTTTGCCGTCAGCGCCCTTTCTGCTTTGAACGGTCGCTCATGAGCAGGATCAGCTATCTGCTCCCACATATGTGCAAGACTGCTAGTCACCGTTGCAAATAATAGAGCTCTTTGGACACACGGTGCATCGTTTGTTTGCTGCTTCTACTCTAATGCTTCTAGCGGCTGAACCCGCAAAAGACCAGCCACCACGTCAATTAGCACCTCGATGACAGCAGAAGATAGCGACCAATGTCATCTTCGGCAGCAGGGAAGAATGACGACGACAAGGAAGAAGATTGGTCCGGCCCATCTTGCTTTCGATCGACATTCTATCGAAATAAAAATTACCGTCAATACTGCCACCACGAGGAGGAAAAAAAACAATCACCAGATCGTCAAAGCTCTCGGCGATTCATGGACTACCGTCTTCACCCGAATAGAACGCCCGGTTTCTTCTCTCTCGCTTTCCATATCTCCCTTTTCTTTTCTCGTTTTTATTTTCGTTAACCGTCACCCTCTATCCTCCGCTTTCTATTTGACATACCTCCTATCTTTTTCCTCCTACTACTCTCTAAACTGCTGACTTATTATTCCACTACCTCCCCTATGTCGCTGTGGCTCCCCGTCTTTCTCTTATTTCATGTTCTCCTGCTCTCAGGTCCTCGGATATGCAGGATGAATGCGTGAGAACCGCAGTTAGCCCTCGATTTGTGGAAGCGACTGCAGTTGACAGCTGTCAAAATCTGCAAACAGATTGTGGGCGCTGAAACTCTGTCCTTTGAGAGGGTGGAGAGAGAGAGGGAGAGAGAGAGAGAGAGAGCGGGCGATATGGTTGTTAGCACATTGAGAGAGAGAGAGAGAGAGGCCGATATGGTTGTTGGAAGCACAGCATGGAAGAGGGAGAGGGATAAGAGAGGAGATAGACAGGCGATAAGCATATAGGACAGTCAAGGGTGAAGGGTGTGGTGAAGAGAGTGAAAATACTAGGAAGGATTCTTGAGGTGGCGGCCATCTGGAAAAGAAGGTTCGAGTTGGTGAATGGCTAGTGATGGTTTATATTGCGTGGCGCACCGTCTTGGCGGATGGAAACGAAGAGAGGAGGATGTCACGCGTCTTGCCGGAGGGAGGCGAAGTGAGGAGGGTTAAGAGCAAGCGAGGAAGTGGATTGTCGTCTCCATAGCAGACGAGATCAAAGATAGGCAAGCTCTGCCATATTGCTTTGGGATGGTGTAGAGTGGAGCTGATGGAGGTGTGATTTGTTGCTTCCGCCTGTTGCGAAATGCGCCACACCTCTCGTTCCTTAACGATTCGAGTTTGCAAACTTCCGCAGCTTTTGCATGCCTTGCCTTGCGTGCGGAACCAACCAGTCGATCACTTTCTCTCTCATCTCGTTTCACGGTTGGTTAACTCTGATGAGATGATGGCAGGGTTAACTCTTGACGTAATGTCATGATTGTTTCACTCTCTCGAGGTAATAGCAGGGTTATAGCGGGGTTAAGTCTGAGGTAGCAGCAGCGTTAACTCGTGAGGTGATGGCCTTCCGCGTGCGGGACCAGTCAATCACTTTCTCACATCCCATCCTTTTCAGGGTTAACTCTGAGATGATGGCAGGGTTGGTTAACTCTGAGATGATGGCAGGGTTCGTTAGATCTGAGGTGATGGCAGGGTTACCTCTTGACGTAATGTCATGGTTGTTTCACTCTGAGGTGATAGCAGGGTTAAGTCTGACGTAATAGCAGGGTTAACTCTGAGGTGATGGCAGGGTCGACTCTGATATGATGGCTTGGTCTACTCTGGAGGTAATAGCACGGTCAAGAGGCAAGCGCTTCACGAGGACCAGGCAGTCGTTGGCGAGAGATTGTCCATTTTTTACAGCGTGGTACAAGGAGCGCGGCATCTGGTGTGGCGGTCATTCGTTCACGTTCATTCACAGACGGCAACTGAGATCAAGAAGAGCTGGTTGGTTATAAAAGTGAGGCAGTAAGTACGTATCTCGGCACCGAATTGAACTGCAGTACACGTGAAGAAACGTGGCCCGCCGCTATTCCCTTCTTTTCGTCTCACGTCCCGCGCTCAGATAAATCGTCTTCGGTGTAAAAACCGAGGGAATTGACGGCCTTAATGTTCCGTTATGTTTTGGATGTGGCCAGATCTTGCCTGTGGCGACATGAAATGCCGCCTTGCCAGGCTCTGAGCAATCGGAAGAGGAGGAGACAAGCAGAGAATGAGAGAGCAACACGAGGAGGATAAAGGGACGCTGGAGGAACGAAGCAGAGAAGATGTGTGAGCAGATGGGAGAGGCAAGGAGAGAGGGGACAAGCAGAGAATGAGAGAGGAACACGAACAGGGATGAAGGGACGTTGGAGGAACGAAGCAGAGAAGATGTGTGAGCAGATGGGAGAGGGAAGGAGAGCCAAGGGGAGACAGAGAGGATGTGTGAGCAGATTGGAGAAGGAAGGAGAGCCAAGGGGAGAAGGGGCGGAGGAGGAAGGTCAAGGAGGGAGAGCGCTGTTTGAAACGAGATCAATTCTTGCGCGTTTCCTAATGAAATGAGATCCTTACTTGTCGGCGATTAGGTTGTGTGTCATCAATCGAATCGAAGAAGTGCTGGTGGAGTCGTCGTTGTCATGCCTTCTTCCTTAGGGCTCTTGCTCAATGGCGGTGGATGGTTCTCCGCTCATGCTGACACTCCCTACCCGCGCCACACAGGTAAAGGCTGACAAAGCCGATGATGATGCTTTTAGCTGGTCCACGCGCATGTACTCGTTGTTGTTCAATCACTCCAGTCGATCAGTCGGTTGATACGAGAACCGAATCAGTGAGCGAACATAACGGCAGGACACAATAGCCTACGACTGGTGATTGTCCGGAAAAAATGTAAATTGATCAATCAGTCGATCATTCATGCGATCAATCAATCAATCAATCAATCAATCAATCAATCAATCTCGGTGAATATCACTGGAATGGATGTAGTCAGCTAGTCTATCTATCAATTAGGTGATCGGTAAATCAACCGCTTGGTCAGCGGCCAAGCTCAGTGAATATCACTGGAATGGATGGTGTTGGCCCAATAGAAAGGGTGAGGATGTGACGCTGGTCGTACGGTCACGGCTGGACAAGAACGGTGCAGCTGGCGATGGATGCAGTATCATCGCAAATACCGTTATCTCCTCCGTTAGTTGATTGGTAGGTGAATCTTATAGTTTGATAGGTAGGTTAACAGAGGCGATTCTTGAACAGATGGCAGGAGAAACTGACGGGAAAGGCGCCTTTCCTCTAGCGTTCCTTGAAATTTGGTTGCTGGAAGGGAAAAGCTCTTCGATCGAAATTCCGTTACCTTCTCCATTAGTTCACCGAATTCCGTTATCTTCTCCGTTAGCGAGTAGTTCATAGGTGAATCAATACGTTGCGTTCGTTGATAGGTAGGTGGTGAGCCGAATATGGAACACAGACGACACAGACGGAAGGAAGGTGAAAAGAGGGAAGGGGCCCACTTTGCCTATAAAGGGTTCATTGAAATTGGTTACTTGAAAGGAAAGCTTCTTCGAATGGGAAGAAGAAAGTTTCTTGAATGCTCGACGTAGAGTGTTCGGGGTGCTCCTTGATCGATAGTGTTCTGAAGCTTCTTGGAAGGTTCTCTGAATGTTCGACTTCGAGTTTGAGTGAGACACAGCATGGTGGTGATAGATAGGGTGGGGGCGTTCGCTTGCGTGCACCCAACTTCTTCTTTCTTTGATTTGCACCTTTTGATTTGCACCTTACCGACGTAAGTCTACTACCTGAGATGTCCATTTTTTTTTTTTTTGTGCTTTTGCCACCTTGCTCTCGCACGCATGGTCGTCAAATCCTCCTCCCTCTGCAGCATGGATGCCCTTGTATGCATATTATGCTTCTTTCGCGCTCTGCCTTGAACCTTTGTCCTCGGCTTAGTAGTAGCACCAAGATTTTGCATTTGCCCGCTGCTTGGGAACTTCGCTGCGTAATTTTTGCTGCGGAGCTTATTCTTCGGACGTTACGGGGTTGATGATGGATGATGATGATGGAGTTGCCTGCGCACCCGTGCCCGTACGGACGCCGTGAAGCCCGTGGAGTTGCCCGCGCACCCCTGTACACGTACGGACGCCATTAAGGCCGTGTACGTGTACGGACGCCATTAAGGCCGTGTAGTTGTGTTGTTGTGCTTTCTCTTGGCGGGCGACGGTGAGAAAGAGCTTTCGTTGCCGGCAAAGAGAGAGTTAAACTCTTTGACCGAGAAGAAAGCAAATGTTGTTTTTTATGCTGAAGATATGAGAAGCTGTGTGCTCATTGGGTGAACACGAGAACGGATAACGTCTGATCGCTGGCAAAAGCAAAAGAGCTCTTAGCTTCGCGACGACAGCATACGATTCTCTACTTCACGACCAGAGCTGTAGAGGCAGCTTATATAATTCATTCACAAGAAAGAACACGCGCTTTTTTTCGTTCGTTTGCAAGACAAGATGGATGGTCTTTGATTCGCAAAGACCCCCCCCAAAAAAGCTCTTGTCTTGTCTTGTCTTGTCTTAAGGCCCCCAAAAGAAAGCTCTTCTCTCTTGTCTCAAGACCCCAAAAGCATTTAGTCTCTTGTCTTCGTCTTTTGTTTGTTTCACGTGAACAAGGTGGTTCTTGACGACTGACGGATGGAGGCCGTAACAAACTAACTCTCTTTGGCTTGTCGACAACGACGGACGTATGGTGTTTATTTTCTCTTCGTTTCTTTTGCTTCTTTTCTTCCTTCCTTGGTCCTGCGCCTTACGCTCTTCTTTTTTTTTTTTTTTTTTTGGGGGGAGCTTACGCTCGTCTTCCTTTCCTGCTTTCTTTTTCATTTAGAAAGGGCGACGGCCTTCAGATATCTTCATCAAACTGACCTGGCCCAGGTCACTTAGAATCTGACTGCATCTGGATTCGAACTTGAGTCTGTATTTCAACAGCTCATGGATGTACCACCTGGGCTACTACCGGTAGGTAGGCTCGTCGGCGCGTGCGTGCTGTTTAGGAGACGTCAACAAGAGCAGATTTTGTCCATCGGAATGGACGAAACGGGCGGCGGAAAAGGCGATAACTTGATACCCAAGCAAGCGAAATTGGATGTGCACGGAAAACCCTGAACGGAACGGCAACTCCATTGGAAAAGGCTTGACGGGACAACAGGATTGGACATACTAACTAGTATGTTATACAGGGAAGTAGATGGATGCTCCTTTCCGTTTTTAAAAGTCGTTAAGGTGATGTCGTCAGCAGGAGTAGCTATACAATGGAGATGGCAGAGGCGACCTGTTCTGCAGACAGCAGCAGTAGAGCAGCTGCTGCTGCTGCTGCTGCTGGAACTTAGTCATCGAGAGCGAGCGTTATCTGAACTGCCTGCTTGTCTACTAGTCCGCGATCTGCATTAGCGGCACATCAGTGACACAAGTCCATTAACGGCGGCACATCAGTGACACAAGTGCATTAGCGGCGGCACATCAGTGACACAAGTCCATTAGCGGCGGCACATCAGTGACATAAGTCCATTAGCGGCGGCACATCAGAGACAAGTCAGCCAAACCGACTAGACTAGCTAACGGAGATGGAAAGCGTTGGAGGCAAAGGAGTCTTCTTTCCTTCTGGTCGCACTTTCGGTTCGTCTCTCCTAGACTTTCTGAAGTGCTCTTTCTTTCCTATGAAAACTGAGTTGCATGGGGAAAACCCATGCTGCTTTGCTTCTTTCGATTCCCCTGCCCCGCTCTCCCCCCTCCCCCATCCCCCCTCCCTCTCGAAACTTTGTGTTTTTCCTTTGCCTTTCATTAGCTGCTCTTTCCCGTAGTTTGTTCTTCTTTCTTAAACTGCTGCTCTTGCTGTCAGTTTGTATAGCAGACGTTATCCTGATGACCACAGAGCGCGATAGAAGTAGAAGTCGGGAAATCTACGCTAGAGTGGTGGGAGCAGGTTGGTTGGTAATTGTCTATATGCAGAGGGTGGAGGTGAAGGACTAAGAGTATCCTCATACTACGACTTTGTGAAAGAATTTGTCCGTAATTGCCGTTAGATTCATCCGGGGAAACGCCCTAGTGCAAGCAAGTATGCCTTAGAGGGAGAGGTATAACGAGAACACGCGCAGGGTCGGATAACGATGGTGGCATCCTGTGTCATGGCGACCCCTTCAAGAATGCGATGTCTGCCGGAAGTAACGATCCAATAACAATTCTCCCTTGCAGACTATAGTTGTACAGTTAAGCACAATATGCTATAGAGCAGGCTGACGTGTTTTCCGTCTCAAGGCCCTACTACACCAGTAGTGGGGAGAGAACCTACTCCATCAGAGAAGTTTGGGCTGCTAGGTTGTGAATGGGTGGGTGGGTGATTACTCTCATCCTAAACGGATATTAGGACTATCCTTTCAAGTATCTGACCTAGATTCGGTCAAATAGGTCGCATTGTGAGTGTGCCCTTAGATAGATGGCAGCTTTGCCTATTTGATCTTTAGTTACGTGACAGCACAGCTCTCCCCTGCGTACATATGGCAACGTCGCAGGTCTGTAAAGAAGGTTTGAATCTAGGATTGATTTTGTTAAGGAAGGTTTGTTAGCGCGCGATGGGCTTATGAACTGATTGATTGGCGGTGGAGTGGTTTCTATTTTCAGAGATTTAGGTTGTGTGCTTTGAGCCATTCTCCCTCCATCACTTCTCTTGTGCTTGATCGATTGTGGTTATGTGATTATCGGTTGGAATGCGGGAATGGCTCGCTTTCACTGGATTCTATGATGATGATGATGATGATGATTTTAACTAATATGTTCCGTGGGATTTATTCTTTGGACCCCCTGGTTGTTGTTAGGTTCTTTCGCCTTCTGATTTGGCAGCAGATTGCACTGATGCCCATGTAGCTGGTGTCTCTGTTCCCCAAAGCTTCGAAGTCGAATGCTCTCATATCTGACGGAGAGAGAGCAGAATGAAGAGAGGTTGAAGGGGGGGGGTTGGGGGGGGGGAGGAGAGGGGGATAGAGGGCAAGGATTGCGCAATTTGTCCTTGTCCACGTCTGTTGTTTATTAGAGCTCGTCCCTCTAGGAAGGTGAGCATTTAGTTACTCACTTGGTTGTGACGAGCTCCTCGTTTTTTTTTTCCTTTGTTTTTGCCATTTTTCCTCGATGTGACGACACCTTCCCCCGCTGTATTTCCTCATGGTTATCGATAGCCGAGGGCGGAAAGACGGAAGGATTGTCAACGCTAGACTGAAAGACGGAAGGATTGTCAACGGTAGACTGAAAGACGGAAGGATTGTCAACGCTAGACTGGCAGGTATATATGCCCCGCTGTTCCGACAAGAAAGCAATAGAGGGTTCAGCCTTTGTTAAGCAACAATCGTTGCAGAGTCCGTTGTTTTAGAGAATTCTATGAGACTATGCATCATGTGGGCGAGGGGTTGCCTCGAGCTCTGTCCTGCATTTGGGAGGAGCAGTAGAAGTTTAGGTTGCTGCTTTTTGCTAATCGATGATTCTTCGTACGATGGGACTAGTGCGCCGATTGATTGAGGGATAGATTGATTTTTTCTGTTGACTGATTGATCCATTGCTACTGGTAGTGCTGCCTACTGCTTGTGCTGCTTATCGCAGGCAGTCTTCATTTGCCAGCACATTGTTCCTTAGATGAGGACATAGGTCAGTCCTATTCCTCAGCATGTGATCCGATTGTTCGATTGGCCACACGGCGCGACGTGTAATGTGTATGCATCGTAAGGATGGAGGGAAAAAATGGGAGGAGGAAAGAGATGAAAAGGGGCTGGATATTCTGCTTGTAGGGAAAGTTTGGGAGGATGATGCTCATATTTGTATCTGGAGTGGCAAGGGAGTTATTGCAGCAAGGAAGGCGAGGAGGAAGGGTGTCGGCATAAGCATGAAAGGATGATGTAGGGAATCGGTGGGGTGTCCAACGTGGGGTGTAGGAAGAAGGATGGGGTTGGAAGCGTGAAAGAGAGACGGATGGGAAAGGAGAAGTCGAAGGGTGGCAAAAGGCAGGAAGGGGAGAAGGGAGAAGAGGTGGATGCGAGTTACACCAGCAGATCTAACTGTCTCCAGCTGTCTTCATCGGCATTATGGGCACTCTCCAGCTGTCTTTATCGGCATTATGGGCACTCTCCAGCTGTCTTTATCGGCATTATGGATACTGTTGCTTTGGAAATTCTCAAAGCAGTGCAGATCTGACGATGTGAACGTCTGCAACGTCACATTTAAGTTAAAAAATAAAATAAAAAAATCGAGGAGCGAGTTCACCTGGAAGCAGAGAGTCAGCTTAGGGAGGGAAGGAACTCCTTTGGAGTGGGAAAAAAAAAATGAAGAATTGGGTAAAGACAGGATAAACAACGGGACACCGTTAAGGGCAGGATAGCAACAAGAGGGGATCAAGTCGCCTGGTTTCCAAAGAGGATTGAGCTGTGCTTGAAGAGAGGAGAGGGAGGGGGAGGGGGGCGGGAAGGAAGAGGAAATGGAAGAAGAAAGGCTAGGCTGCCTGTTTGCAGCATGAGCTGGTTGGTTTATAAAGAATTGCGAATCCGACCCTTCTTCTCCATTTGAGCACTCTGTTCGGGGAAGTGTATGGATATGGTGTAACATGCATGCCACCATGTTGAGGGCAAATTATGGACGCCGAGGTGTATGTGGTGCATGAAGACTCGACTCGAGAAAGCTCCTCGTTGTGCGCTGCCGGCTGTTGTTGATTGGTTCGAATTCGGTGCCCGAGAATATTGGGGCCGTGAGGATCGAATTCAGTGCGGATGGTGTTCAATTTGGGTCGTGGAGAAAATGTGGGTGGCGGAAATCGAGCAGGGTTAGCTACATGGGATATGCCTGGCGGAAACGAGGATGGAGTGGGCCTGCTGTAGACTGGGCAGAGGGGTTGACACTGGACAAAAGAGGGAGATGAGCGTCGGGACGGAGAAGGTCAGCAAAACAGAGCAAAAGAGCTCGTATTGGACCCCAGGGTAATCAATGCTGGCAGGATCGTACCACACTTTTCTGATGTGATGTGAATCTTGTCTATGTAAGGGACGCTGGACCGGGTTTCCAGCAGGTGCTGCTTCCCACCAATAGATGGAGCCCCCCCTGGGTGCTAGCGGTGTCTGCTCGTACCAGCACCGCTAGCACTGATGGGTGCGTCCTTTTTGATCGCGGATAAAATATGGGTATGGGCGGTGGAAATCCAGCAGAACATGTGATGTCTGAAGGAAGTGAGATGGAGGCGGCTGTTGTAGACTCGGGAGCGGGGTTGACATCTGGACAAGGGATGGGTATCGGCATTGGGAGGGAGAAGGTCAGCGAAACAGATGGAAAAAGCTCGTCTGGATGTATCAAACACAGATGGAAAAAGCTCGTCTGGATGTATCGAGCACTCTGTGGTGCTCGTTGTTGAAGGGGCTTCTGCAGTCGTCGAGACAGTGGAAACTTAGGGTGGGCTGTTTTTAGGGATTTGAGGAAATTGCATCTCAGTGAGAGTGGCTGAGGGGACACATATAGGCCAGCACTGAGGGTAGAAGGCTCTGTTGATGCAGGCACTTGTAAAATATTACAGTGAGCCTTTCATTGCTAGCTAGCCTGACGAGGAATAAGAGCGCGAGCGAGCATTTCATAGAACGTTCCTGAGGGCTCCGGACAACCTGGCGGCTTGGCTGGAGGTCTAGACTGTGTTGAGGTGAATTCATGATGGGCTGGGGTATAGAATTTGATGACGTCAACATCTGTCTATGGAATATGATGACATCAACATCTGTCTGCCAAAGTGGGCTGTGAAAGATTTGGGCTGGTTATGACATCAACATTTGTGCACGGAAGTGGGGTGTGAAAGATTTGATCACACGGAGAGGAAGAGAAACAGGTGGGGGGGGTGAGGTTTCTGCAGAGCAGAAAGTGGAGGAACAAGTTCTTGAGGTAGAGAGGGGAACTCACAAGGGAAGGAAAGAGTTATGCTGTGTTTTTTTTTTTTAGTCAGAGAAGGCGATGACCAGTTGGGAAGGAAGGGAGGAGAGAAGAAGGTGGGTGCCAAAAGAAAGGGAGGAGTTGTCAGTGGAATTAGAAGGATGGGAGGGACATGAGGAGTGTTTTCAAGAGCTCTTTGCTGTGAACCGGCTTGAGTAACTAATTAAAGGTCAACGAAGGTGTGATGGTAATGTAGTTCTCACCAAGCTCGTGGCTTTTGGAAGCGATTCTGGAGGCTGGCTGAAAGGACAGCAGTTCGACGGGCATGTGGAAAAGCTGGACGATACCTTGGAAGCAATGGCGTCCGTTCGCTGTAGCGGCTGAGGAGCGTTGGGAACGTACCGAGCTCAATGTGGGGTAGGTAGTGTAGGGGATCCATCCATAGCAGATTTTATTTACAAAAATGGCAAAGCAAAGCATATGCTCACATGTGTCGGAGGCAGAGGCTTTGAAAAAATTGCTGCCAAGATTTGTAGACTTTCGACCGGATGCCATCTCTCTCTCTTTCGTTGTGCTGTGCACTCTCTTTGGGCACAAAGGCCTGGTACCTGCTTTGCTGTGATGTTGGTTGGGCTTTTGGCTTTTGCTCAGGGTGCGGGATATCTATGGGCGGAGGGTATCATCAAGTAATCTGCTTGCTGTCAGTATTAGACCTGAGCAAGCCTTGTCCGGTAAGTAAGATGTGTGCATGAGACCGAACAGGAACCTTGGCTGCGGTATGAGATATGGTAGTTCGTGGCATGTTTTTAAACTGCCCCTCCATATGTATGTGTGTGTGTGTGTGTGTGTGTGTGTGTGTGAGAGAGAGAGAGAGAGAGAGAGAGAGAGAGAG